TCAACTCTCATGGAATGTTTAAGCCCACCAGACATTTTATGCTATGTTTGGTAAACAAGCTAGCTTATAGTTGTTAAGCGAATCTCAAACTTATAGCTGATAGCTTATTACTTGTGGCTGAAAAAGCTAGCTTATATCATAAAAGTGTTTGGTAAAATTAGCTGATACGCTAACTGAAATAAAAATTTTTAATTGGCTTATTTGAAAAGCTACCCAATTAAGCTTATGAGTTAAGCTCGAGCTTTTTGAAAAAGTTCGTCCTACTAAACTAAGCTTATTTGAATACATGAAGCTTATAAGCTAATCAAATAAGCTATAAGCTAGCTTATATGCTTACCAAACACAATCTTAATATGGTCAAAAAAAGCCCTTGCACATAATTTTACTTTTTAAGTTTATCCAATCACTACAATTAAAAGCTTAAGACCATATTATGTTGAGACGTGACATGATACCTGAAACAGGGCCGACTGGTTCAGTATCCTCATCATGTTCATTTTCCTCATCGGGCTCAGCAGCATCTTCTGCGCCTGAACCAGGAAGAGCTCTACCAAACATGACAAAATCTCGTTCCAATTTCCTCTGGAATGAGAATAAATTAATATTACAATAAAGAACAAGAAATGTAACTACAAAAGGCATAAGATTGAAGACACTAGTCTAAGATAGTTAAATGAGTACAGGACACAATTCATCAACCTATATTGCAATTGACTCAACAGACCACACCACTTTGTCACATAAACACAACTCCCAAAAGTTCATACATTTGGAAGAATTTTGTGTGTATGATTCATCATAAAATGCAGCATGAGGATACTACAGCAAGTCAGCAACAAGTTTCGTTGAGAAATGTTTACTTTACAAGTCCCTCGATCAAATGCAGGATTGGCCAAACAAGTTTTCTTGAGAATTGTTCACTGCAAAACTCCCTAAGTCGAATGCAGGATTGGCCAAACAAGTTTTCTTGAGAAATGTTTACTGTGCAACTACCTAAATCAAATGCAGGATTGGCCAGACGGAAGTTTATTAAAGGGTGGATCTTCACCTATGTGTGCATTTCAGGTTTAAAGTTTGAAACTATTGATTGTTTTGCAAGTGTCAAGGTTCACCTCAAAATTTGTGCAAAATCAAGAGCAACCAAAATAACTTACTTTCGACTAACTTCCCTAAAACCAAATTCTAGCCGTTCCATTTAGTCTCGGCAACACACAAGTTCAAGAATTGCCTGTTACTCCTCACTACC